ATTTAAAGCATGACTTCATAAAAGCGGATTTAAAATGAAATGAACATTTCATCACGACAATAAAATAACATCTCCTGTTGATAATGAAAATTTTATTGTAGAAAGCATGAAAATAAGCCAATATATGACCGTACGGTTATTTGTGAGCAAGAACATTCCCGCGAATTTGCTGGCAGGCGATTTGATTGAATAAGTGCTTTAAGTGCATCTATTTTTATATTATTTGCATTAGTAACCGATTAAAGATTGCAATTACAAAAAAATGTAGGAACGGAATGGTCAATACATTACCACCGCCTGGTGCGTTGTTGTTAAAAACTTATTGTTGGTTTCAGTCTAAACGCTATTTAATTGAGCTATTGTCTGATGCTTTATTACTGTTCATATTCCATTTTTGGTTATTTACTAAGACATGCCTTAAAGGGTTCCTTGAAATGGGTTCATTTATATTAATGAATCAAATTTTTATCTATTTTTTTTTAAATATTTAGCATGCTATCATTTGGGCACAGAGCCGAACCAATCGAAAAGTACGATACGGTATTTCTTCATCCATGTACATGCATTTTACACTGATAAAAAGGTTGTGCGTGTATTTCAAGGGGTACCTTAAGGATATCCCTGGACATTTTCTGCGGAAAAGTACTTTTCAATTAAAGGGATACAATTTTATTTAAAGTCTATTTGTGTTTCCTTTAATTTATAGGCCGCAGCCACTTTCTCTGATTCGGCTTGCATTTTATCGTTCATATCAAGCAACATATATATGATCTAGGAATTTAATAAACAGAATGAGGATCGAATGTTTCAGTTGACGTTTATACATATTTGACAATAATTTCATTTGCATATTTCGTATCCCTTGAAAGCAGGAAATAATGAAGAAGGTAAACGACAATGCGCAAGCAACACAACGGCGCATAACACAAACAACTTAAAACATCTAGAGGTCAATTCATGGTTTCGGTCTTCAATAATAGACAGGTGTTTATTAAATGTCAAATTCTAAAATTACTCATTGTTCATCTGTTTAAGGAATGACTGTAATATTTTTTTCTGTCTATGAAGAAATAACATCAAAAAATGTGGTGCACACTGAATAACCCGCGTAGCGGGTTATTTTAAAGTGTGCACAACATTTTTTATGTTATTTCGAATAGACAGAAAAAATATTACAGTCATTACTTATAATTTAATTCTAAATTCCATTTTAAACCGGAGTAAACCATGAAAAAACGTTGATGACGTCACGGTCACATGACAAAATTATGTCTATGAGCTGATAAACAAAACAACGTCAGCCAATCAGAAGACGCGTTACATCCAAAATTAAATTATTTCTAAATAACGATTCTGTAAATTATCTGAAGAAATTGCATACATTTTGTAATCGTTGAATACCAAATGGATATCTATAGATGTCTATTTGGTTATCTTGTATTACTTGATTGCTGTATTAATTGGGTTTATACTTCAAGTGGAATTCATACATGAATATAAAACTAAAAAATGCAAGGAATTATTAAAATCGATGTGGAAAAATAGTTTGCAGAAAACTGGTTATAATGATTGATTCATTGATATTTACTTAACGTCCAGTGGCAAATATATCATCCATTATCAGGATGATTGGGATACATGACGTCATACTGAAAAAAAACATCAAACACATGTCAAGCAGTATTGAGTTTAAAATTCAATACAGATAGTTAAGGTGGTACCCAACACCTTGAATAATACTAATTTGGCTCGTTTAATTTTCCTAAAATTTTGACAAAATGTTTACTTTGACCCTTTGACAAAAATATAAAAATTTCAAATAATTTGAACCAACCACTTTATCAGAAAAAATTCACTGGTTATATAGCAGTTTGACAAACACTAATTTTGATCATTGAGAAGCTTAATATTTCCTTAACAATACAACGTAATTAAAACGTTTAGCTGATTTTTACAGAGTTATCTCCCTGTAGTGTTAGGTACCACCTTAAGACCCGGACAGAACACAGAAGCCGCCACCATGGCGTAAAACTTTTGTACTAATGTCAACAAAAGTGGTCGTTTTATAGCCCAACACGTAAACGAAAAGACTTTGGTCATTAACTTCGGGTATCATCGGATTACTTCGGAATAATAATTATTACTTTTGGGTAGAATATCTTTATATACATCGGATTTGTCATGTCTTGCATATGCCTAATATTTAAAATATTTTTGAAGGAGGAACACCACTTATTCATGTAGCCCATTGCTTTCTAAATAAAGTTCTATAATATCAAGCACTCCAGCTATTTTGTCTAACGTTCGCATAAAAAGACAGTAATGCCATGTCAAAATAATATCTTATGACCTGTACGTTTAAATTGTGTTGTACAAATACAAGATAGAAGATGTGGTATGAGTGCCAATGAGACAACTCTCCATTCAAGTCACAATGTATAAAAAGTTAACAATTTTAGGTCAAAGTACGGCCTTCAACACGGAACCTTGGCTCACACCGAACAGATTGATATAAAGAGCCCCAAAATGTTAGTGTAAAATAATTCAAACAGGAAAATCAACGGTCTAATCTATATACAAAACGAGAAACGAGAAACACATATGAACCACACTAACAAATGACAACCACTGAACAACAGGCTCCTGACTTAGGACAGGTGCATAAAAATGCAGCGGGTTTAAACGTTTTAACAGGCGCCAACCTTCACCCTAACCTGAGACAGTAGTGAAACATTACAACATAAAAAGACACACTATAAAAGATCAATTGAAATGGCTTAACTCGATCAAAAATACATTTAAACAAAAACAAGTAAACAAACACTGAACGAATAAGTTTGATCTATGACACAATATAAATACAATATTAAAACGTAAAGTATGTTTTAACTGAAAAACAGGCAATATGGCCTCCTATTTCAGTATAATGTTTTTTTTTATAGTTTTCAAAATCAACATTCAACAAGGGTTCTACGATGAGCTCCACCACAAGGATTCTACACTGACCTCCAGTTTTTCAGCTTTCATTTATAATTCCAAACTACATGTAACTCAATCATTTTACATATTTCTTAAAGTGACAGCTCTGCGTAGGAACTATTTTGCGTTAAATTTGTATTACTTTCTGATTTATTCCATGACTGGGCCGTGAATTCGTGGTTCTACATATTAAAAGGTCAAGGGATATTTCTCTTATTAAAAACAGGTGTATACGGATGTGCTAACCGTTTTCTGAAGTATGCTTTAAGCTTCTATGTAACGCAGAATTTAAAAAAAAAATCTGAATCACAAGAATGAAAAAACAACATTGTCAAATCCACCTTTTACAAACGCATTACTCATTTCAAGAATTATTACCCATACACCATGCCTTAAGGATGTTTGCTCCTCTTGTTTTTGAATTTTTGCCAGATTTTCGGAATCCTCTGGTTTTATCCATGTATTGCCATTCAAACATTTTCCCCACTAACCCCTACTTTTTTTTCCATAATTTTATTACATATAGTTTAAAAAGCCATATTTGAAAATCTTATAAAATCCTTGTTATTTTTTCATAGTTTTTGAAACAAAAAAGCGGCCAATGTTAAAAGTATGAAAAATCTAGAGAGAATCATTTCCCGCCAAATTTTCAAAAGCTAATATCTCGAAAACAAGCACACGGACCCTTCATTTTTTTCAGCTTTTTTATTTCCTTTATTTATATACTTTCATTTTAGAACAGTCTTTTCAAAAGTTTGTTATTTTGAAACAGAGTAGCGAACATCCTTAACTTTCTAAAATATAATTCTATGTTATGATGTACACTGCCCACTTTTGAGGTTTAATTTCAAGGCAAACATATAAAGTATACATGCTTCCGTCCTCGTAATTTACTTTGCTAAAAGCTGTTTCTTCAATTAAAACATCTGAGCCAATCAAAACGGACTTCTGAACGTACACAACAGATATGTGCGGCAATGCAACAATCCCTCTGAATCGGTAGGTGCATCAATCAAATCCTTCAAACTTGGACACATGTCGTGTGAAAATCTGATTTATTTGAATTATTATGCATTACATATTCAAATCGGTTCAATCTATCTAAATTATCACTAATAAAATCATACGATCAAATCGGTTTTCCCTTGTTACACGTATTATAAGTTTTGTGTCTCAAACGTACACTTTGCTTCTTCCCCATTGTCCTGCCGCAAAAGCGATCCACGTATGCATTACATAGTTCATAAAATGTATGTCAATTTGTTTCTTCAAAAACCGGTTAAATGATTAGTTATAGTATATGATTATGGACATCAGATGTTCCAATTAACGTGTTTTAAAACAATATGCTGTACATGTAACAGAAACGTTGCAATTTCGGTATAAAATGATGAAAGCAAATATCTCCAATCCACGTTTAACATTTAGTAAAATAATTTGTAATACTCTTTTCATAAATAGAAGCCCCCCTAATTAGTATCGAAAAAAATAGTTGATACTTCATTTTAACTTTTGGGGGTAATTTTATAATACAAGGGTGAAACTAGTAAATTTTCTAAATTTTGACATCTTTAATTTGCCGATAAACATTTTTTTTTTCAATAAACAGTAACGTTTTTAACTGTAATTGCAACAGTTAAAAAAGAAACTAAATTTGTATACCGGAACTGTTATGCACTTTTGACATTATCAAACACCAGAATCGTAATGTCTTACAGTTGGACCAACACATTGGCAATGTTTTTTGTGTGTAAAATAAATGTTACATTTTTAAAGCAACGTTAACACAACGATATTTTAAGGAAACAACACAAATTATTGTATGAAAGTGATTTTAGTGTATTGACGATGGAACTCTCAATGAGACAAAGTAAAAATAAAAATGACATTTCCTTAAATTGTAATGCGTTGACACTGGAACTCAATTAGGCAAAGTAAAAAATGAAAGTGACATTACCTTAAAAGTTTGTGCGTTGACGATGATCCGAATAAGGCAAAGTAAAAAATGAAAGTGACATTACCTTAAATGGAAGTGCGTTGATGATGGAACTCTCAATGAGACAAAGTAAAATAAGAAATGTTCTTATCATGTTGATGCTTATCGGTACGTTGGTGACAATCTAAGTGGATGAGATCCGATAAAATCTCTACTTATATAGTATCGTTCCTGACCACGCACTTTACGTATTACAGTTTGTTTCTTTAATTCTATGACAATCCTAGAGATCATTCGTTCGTATTGTTAAATGCTATATAAAATGTTTATATTGATCAAAACTATCTGAGGAATTGTAATTATTTTACGTCTTGTTTAGTCAAATCACTAATGTTTTTGAACAGTTTGTAAAAAATTCGAATTTATTAAGGCAATTAACAGTTGGTCTTTAATTATCGATAAAATCATTGGTCTGATTTTTTAACGTTTTGTTTCTCCTTATTTTACTTTTTGTTATTACGTCAGTGGTTAATTGAATCGGAATTGATTTCCGTCTTTGTTCGCTGTTTTTAAGTGATTTTATCGACATGATTAGCAAAGTCCGTTGAAGATGTTTGACGTTAAAATGCAAATTATGTGTAAAAAACAAATACATTAGCAAGTATTTGACAGAACTCTGTCATAAGGCAGGACGATGATAATTGTTTTCACGCCAATTAAAAAAAAATCAACTTTCATAATATCTATTTTAAGAATGCTTTGTATCCTTTTTTTGTGATCATAATTATGAAAGTAATTAATACGTACATGAATAAATAATAAAATATAGAAATAAGGACGTAGGCTTCGTTTTGGAAAACAATTTCTTTGATTTTTTTTCAACTTGAACTAAAGTTTTGCATGGCTTGCCAAATTTTCTGCGTTTGAAACACTCTTCAGTTACAAAGACCATTGTGTACACTCCAAAAACATATAGTACAAAGAAGATTTTTCTAATTTTATAGTTTTAGATAAATTAAATAAATATTCATCTGTAGTCAAAATCGTAAAGGTTTAACTTAACTACTTGTAGATAGATATGTATGTTGATTTAGTATGTCTGTGATAAACGTCAGTTTGACCGTCACTTAATACATACATTATATTGAATAAGAAATAATTCAGTTAAACATAGTTTTAAAAGAAAATGAATACTACAATATAAAAAAGAGGATATATGTAAACGGAGTTGCGTAAGACCCCTGAACAAATGCAATTTTAGAAACTAGTGACAAAGGGAAATTGTCTTGAGGTTTTTGCATTTGATTCGAAAAATGTATTTTGAATTGCATTGTAACATTCTCTCTCTCTCTCTCTCTCTCTCTCTCTCTCTCTCTCTCTCTCTCTCTCTCTCCTCTCTCTCTCTCTCTCTCTCTCTCTCTCAGAATAGTGCACAGTTACTGTGAAAAAAAAAAAAAAAAAAATTCTGAGAAAAGAGTTGTTATGTATGAATAAAACGGGAGATTTGTGGTAAACGTAAAAAAAAAATTTGGCCGAAACAGATATATAGTGAATAAACGGCTTTGATTGCTGATTTTTTCTTTTGCAATAGACGGTTTGCTTTGCCTGTGAATCTGCACACGTTTCAGAACCATATGTTAATCTAAGTTAATAATTAATAATTGTCCATTGATGTTTTTATTGATTTATTTCTTGTTTTACATGAATTTCATTCAGTTTATAAAAATATGGAGATGTTGTATAATTGTCAATGCGGCAACGACCAATTAGTCAATATGGCGTGAATGCAAACGGCCTTCAACATTGAGGAAAATTCATACCGTATTGTCAGCTATAAAAGGTTCCGAAATTACAAAATATGAAACGATTCAAACCTGAAAACCAATAGCCTGGTTTATGTACAAAACAATAAACGAAAAACAAATTCGAAAGACAGCAAAGTAACAACGACAACAACTGAGTTATAGGTTCCTTACATGGGACCAGCATATACGGAATGTGGCGAGGTTTAACGTGTGAAGCCGGAGAGCATGATTCTCACTAAAATATCACACGTCAACACCTCTGTCAATCAAACCCTGCACTCAAGCTGTCGCTGTGTTTCAAGTCAGCGCTCTTACCGACATGCTAAAACAAGTACTTCCCTAGCTAGATCAACCAATACCGGTTGGCTAAGTAGTTACAAGTCAAAAGAAGCAATCACATCACACTCCTCTCCACTCAAGAGTCTTGTTTAATTGGAAGTTCCAGGTGAAATTATGAGTTTAAATTTATATTAGATTTGTGTCAGTTTCCTTCTAATTGTAATTATATAAATTACTGTGTAACGACTGGACAACATAATTACTTTTAACAACTTCAGGTATCAGTACATTTTAGAATACGTCATTAAAAGTCCATAACGTTTACTGGTTTTTGCTTTCTTGGCTTACGGTTTTTAGACTTCGTGAATATCATTCGATCCGGAATAAAACGTCAATATCAGAAACAGAGCTTTCCTCTTTCTGGATACGTTTTTCTTACATTCACTCTATAAATTAGAGCTTAATGTCGGTCGATGTATATAAATTAAATACAATAGTCAACTATAGTACCACATTACTATTTATAATGGTAAGCAGTGAGGTCTATAGTAAGGTTACCTAGAATAATGTTTTTAATGTGGAACCAAACACCTTGACTTAAATTATTTGGCAAGTTTAATTTTCATAAAATTTTGACAAAATATTTACTTTGACCCTTTGACAAAAATATAAAAAATTTCTAAAAACTTTAACCACACTATTTATCGGAAAAATTTCATTGGATATATAGCAGTTTGACAAACACTAATTTTGATCATTTAGAAGCTTAATATTTTTCCTTGACAATAGATTGTGATTAAAACGTTCAGCTGATTTTTACAGAGTTATCTCCCTGTAGTGTTATGTACCACCTTAAGTACCCCTTCCCAGTGTAGAACTGCACATGGTTATGTATAGGTGGCGGATTCAATGAGATGAAAAACTATTGAGATTAATAAAAGAGAAGTATTTTCTATTTTGAGAATTGTTAGCATAGTTGGTACTAGTAATAAGGTAATAAGTCTGAGTTTCTGTATAACTTTACTACAGGAAAAGGATAATTTGACATCAGAATGGATATGACGTCTCGTTTACTATTATATGATCTTATATTAGACGAGACGAACACAATATCGATAGGCCTTTAATGTGAAAATGCCTCACACGGTATCATAGGTATGCTCAGTGAAACTTGATACCTAATATCTAGAAGCTCTATATGTAATTCCTCGGAAAAATGACGCGAAAATTATAAACATGATCATTAGGGGAAAAATACACTTACATTAGTCTTTGAAAACATGATTTTATTTATTAGTTTTTATTTGCCTTGAACTAGTTTTCAGATACTGCGAGTACTCCTATATCGGTGCTTTGTGTCTATTGTTTTTATGTTAGTTGGTTTATTTGTACTTCGAACCGATTTATTGAGTTAAGCAACTTGCAACTGATTTTTACAGTGTGTTCTTATTTTGTGCTGTAACACCACACCTAAGGTTAGAAGATTGAGCGCTAACACACATATTTAACCCCGCTACATTCCTTATGTGCCTGTCTCAAGTCAGGAGCCTGTAATTCAGTGGTTGTCGTTGGTTCATGACTGTGATATTTGTTTTTCGTAAATTGTATTTTTATAAAGTATGCCGTTAGTTTTCTCGTTTAATTTTTTTTCAAATTTTTCATGTCGGGCCTTTTATAGCGGATTATGCGTTATGGGTTTTTCTGGTGGTTTAAGGCCGTGGGTGACCTATAATTGCTTTTATCTTTGTCTTTTGAACTCTGCTGGATAGTTGTCTCACTGGCAACCATAGCAATCCCCTTTTTTTTTATATTGTCAAGTAATCGGTAAACAAGCAGTTGTTGAGCAGCAGTTTGGAAATGTCTAAACGGTATATTACATGCTCATATTAAACTGCAAATTTCAATGAAGCTCTGATTTTTAAGTCCTGAGAAAAATCGCGACAACAACTTTTATACATGGCTATCGTGTAAAAGAATATTTAAGAATTTGTGTAAACATGAAATTGATGAGCGGTGTATGTAAAAAAAATATTATTAAAAAAAGCATACCCACATAATGCTACATGTCAAATTTCAGTAAGATCTGATTTGTAAGGCTGAGAAAAGTGTTACGAAAATTTAAGAGTTAAAGAAGTATACCTACACTTACGGAACAGAGATATAAATACCATATTTTAGCCGTTATAATCTTACTGACAAACGTTAACTTTTACAAGTGCCTGATTGGCCATTAAAAGGGATTAAACTAACTACCCAAGCTTAAATTTTTCCTCTCACATCATTTTCCAAGCAACTGAATACCAGCAAGCAAAATATTACATAACATGTAATTGAACAAAATAAGATTAAGTAATAACAATAATGTCACACGCATATACAGGATATTTGATAAAGGGGGAGGGGTAATAACAGAAAACGGAATACATACCGCCGAAAAAATAATTTGGACTTTTTTTGCTATACAGTCATATAAATCATGAGAAACAATAGTTGACTATCAAATGGGGGGGTTGTCTTCTACGCCACACCTGTATCCACCACCAATGACTGATAACGGCTGTATACAATTTTCCTGATCTGATCTACCTCAAGAGTGACTGGGGTATATAAATATGGTCATCACTGGTCATCTTCAAACTGTCAGTAAAAACCTCGCCATAGTGGCTGATTTGCTGTCCGGGATGTATCGATACCTCGTCTAGGGAGAGTATCGTGTTCTCTGTACAATAAGAACCCTTGAAACAACTCTTTGATGGGTCCATAGGTGGCCTGTTGCAAGGCTAAATTTTGTCCCTATTGAATATATCTTTTTTTTTTAAAGTTGTATTCCAAATTTCCCGTCTATGATGCCGATCGATCCCTCATTGCAGAACTTATACCTATTTCAATAAATTGTAATTTTTTTTTCTTCTGAACATGCATGCAATATTTTCCACTGGACGTTAAACAAATAACAATTAATCAACCTTGTCATTAACATATTTTATTCTTACGTCTGTTTCACGTGAGTGTTTAAACAGATTGATTAAAGTAAATATTGGTACAAGCTCCTTATTGATGTAAAGAGTTGTTACTCTCAACAAAGCGCTACACTTAAAACGCAGCACAATTATGC